CTGGGCCACGGGAGTGATGGGTTTGCCCGCGTCAGCTCCAGTGTTTTGGACAGTGCAGGCCACCCTGAGATCCGGGACCCCACCTGAGCCAGGTAGAGTGCGGAAGAGCTTGGCCGCCAGGCTCAGCACTCGGACACCTTCCTCAGGGAGCACGGCTGTTAAACTGCCAAGGCCTTAATGGACCCGGATGTCAGTAAACCTGGCTGCTCCGGGGGAGACACCTGCCTGGGGAGCATCTGCTGGGGGAGCACTTGCGGGAGGGGGGGCCTGAGCCCAGCACCGGCACCTCCTGGTCTTCACCGCGGCCACCTCCACCTCCTTTGGCCGTTCTGTGGTGCTGAGGGACCTGGCCCGCGGGATCGCCGGTCTGGTTCAAACCCTGGCTCTGCCTTCTCTGGGGTCACTGGTGACCGTCCCTGTGGGCCTCAGTTTCCTCGTCTGTGAATTGGGGGTAACTGCAGGCTGAGTGAGCTCCCAGAAACTCTGGCTGCTGTGATTAGCGTTGCACCTCCATCTGCTCACTCGCTCACTCGCTCATCCATTCGCTCACCCGCTCCGCAGACATGTACCAGGCGCTGCTTCGAACACACCCACGTCAGACCGAGCATGGCAGGTGAGGCGTTTGGCTTCCCGAGCCGGGTGTGGGGAACCACGTGTAAACCACACGGTCAGGGGGGCTGATCCGGCCACAGGCGGCCCTGAGGACTGGGAAGACCCCAGGGAGGCCGTGGAGGGGAGGGCAGCCCTGTCGCCTGCGTGCCCTGTAGGAAGCGCTTCGCTGGGGTCAGGGCGCACCAGCTCTCAGAGGGGCCTGACTGCCCCACCACAGGCTAGACCCCAGCCTGCGGTGCCACCCCCCTGTGTCCCCTGGACTCCAGTGCCTGGGGTGGCGTGCCCCCAAGCATCAGGCCTGGGGAGGACTGGGTGAGATGAGGGGGTGGTGCTGGCTTGTGCTGGGGGTGGCCCGGCTGTGACAGTTCGGAGTGGCCGACCTTGGGCTGGGAGCCGAACTGGACAGTGGCCTGGGGCCGTTGCGCTGACGCAGTGCCTTTTGCGTTCAGCGGGCCAGGCTGTGCTCCAGGCTGGGTTTGCAGGGCCATCTCGGGGATGCCTGTGGTGAGACACCCGCGGGGTAGGGGTGCAGAGAAGGGGACCCTGCAGGCGGTTCGCGTCTGTCACTGAGTTCACATGTCCGCCGAGAAGCTGGCTATGGACCTGCGGAAGGTGAGGTCGCTGGGAGGCTCAGATGGGGCCCTGCCGCTTCCTCCCTGGTTTAAGACACACCCCCAACTCCTGAGACAAGGCCAGCAGGGGGCTCCCTTGGGGACCCATGAGGCTGAATGGAGGCTCAAAGGGGGACCCTTGAAGAGAAAGTGTCCACATTTCCCATGGCTGCTCTGCACCCCAGGCTCACCCTGATGGGGGGCTGCTTCCTGGGGTGCTGCCTGGACATAGGGGTGCACAGAGTTGAGCAGGGTCACCTGGGCCTGGGCGTCCGCGGCCCCAAAACATAGGCACTGGGCACTGTTGGGTGCTCCCTGCGCCCCCACTGGGCATTTCCCTCCCTGACCGCCCGGAGGGCACCGCTGCTGCAGGTCCAGTACACTTAGAGCTTGCCTTTCTGGCTCTGGAACATTCCCACCCCCACACATAGGGGTGACCACCCATCCCTTTGTCCCCCTGGATGTGGCTGTTGGGACGGTTCCTGGAGAGGCCGCCTCTGCTCCATCTGGCCGGGCAAGCCCCGCTCCTCGTGGCCGGGTTGTGCTCCGCCGTGGTGGACGGCAGGGCTTTGTCTCGATGGCTGCTTTGTGGTGTCACTCGCTGGGGTGGGCTGCAGGCGCCTGAGCCCTGGGTGTGGGCGCCCTCAGGCCGGTCAGGGCAGAGGCTGGAGGGCCCTGGGGGGCCAGAGGGGTCGCCTGCGCTTTGACTGTGGATGACAGTGCCCATTCCTGCCCACCACGCTGAGAGCAGCACAGCCACGCAGCTGGGGGTCCATGATGAGTGACCAGCAGGAGGAGGGGATCGTGACCCCGAGGCCCCAGGGCCCCCACGTCCCGATGTTACAGAGCAACCCCCATGTAAGACAGGTTGCCTGACTGTGGGTCCTCACCCGCGCACAGGCGTGAGTGTCGGGGGCATGGGGGGGCCGCGGTGGCCAGCGCAGCTGGGATGCACTCGAGGTGCAGAGTGAGCAGGTAACAAACAGTTCAGCCCCTGTGGTCATGTGTGTGTGGCCACCGCGGGGAAGCAGTGTGGGCGGGGGTGGCATCCGGGGTGCGAGCGCCCCAGCCCGGCCCCCCCGCCTGCCCTCCTTCACAGAGCTGCTGACCGGGCCTTGGGGGGGAGGGCCTGGGCCGGCGTGTCCCACTGCTGAAAAGCCAAAGCTGCTCCTGCTCGGGTACCTGGCGAGGCGGAGGGCGTCGTCTCGGCTGCGGGGTGGAAGCGCCAGCTTTTCTCTGTAGAACGTCCCTTTGCTATTCATAGCGCTTGGTGGAGTCTGGGTGTGAAACATCGAGCCCCAGCCCCAGGCAGATGGCACATGTGTCCGACCATGACTTTTAAAGTCACATGTGGCCACCACATTGGACAGCACAGCCCTGAGCCCTCGGGGGAAACGCCGGGGCCGGTGCTGGGTGGGGGCCTCCAGGGCCCTGCCGGCTGCTGAGCTCGGTCCGAGACCAGGCCGTGGCTTCCCCGGAGGCTGCTGGGGGTCACCGCAGCCCCCAAGGCCGGGAAGGACGGCCCCGGGTTGGGGGGCGCGCAGGATGGCGCGTGTGACGTTACTGTTATTTCTCCAGCAGGGCCCTGCCGGGAGGGTGTTTGCTTTGGGTGAAGTTTCTGCCGCGGATGGTGGTGCCTGGGGAGGGTCCTGGATCTCAGGGTGGGCGCCCAGGCCCGACCTCCCTCGCTCTGCGGCTCCCCGCCTGCCTGAGAGGGAAGGGGCAGCCCCCCAGCCCCACCCCGGTACTCTGGAGGGGTGAGGAGGGAGGGGGTGTGGTGGGCGGGGGCTGGCCCGGACCCAGGCAGAGGGGCCCGGGCCTCAGACACATGGAAGCAATTCTGGGTCACGTGGGCCGGCTGCACTCTGCCCTGCGAGACAAGGCCCCGCTCCTCTCCAGGAAGCGGCCCCAAAGCCGCAGCTCGGGGCCAGATGCGCCCTCGCTCTCGGCTTTGTTTATTTAAAGATGCTGGAGCCGTTTCTGAAGGGGGAGCACGGGCCAAGGCCTGGGGGCCCGTGAGGCGGCCTTGGCGGGCAGGGAGGTGGTGCCCCTCCCCTGGGGCCTTTGCCTTTCCCTGGCCTTGGGGGCACGGCCAGGTGGCCCCTCGTCCCTCCTCTTGCTGGGAAAGGAGGTTCCGGAGCCCTGGCGTCTTACCTTACTGTTTGCCTGGGCCCTGTTGTGGGAGGTCGGGCGGGCGGTGCTGTCGGGCAGAGGACGCGGGGGAGCGACTGGCTAGTGAGGGTAAGATGCCCGCACCCCAACTTGTGGGATGCGCCAGCTGGGTCCCGTCCCCTGTCTCCGGCCCTGGTGCGGCCTGGAGAGAAGCCGACGGGGCTGCTGGCCTGTGAACGGGGTGAGGGGCCCCAGGGATGCGGCTGCTGAGGGCTGGCTGGCTGTGGTGCTGGGAGGGGCGTGGAGAGGGTGTGGGTGTCGGGTGAGAGTGGGGGGCAGGGGCAGCAGGACAGGGTGGAGGTCTCGTTTCCCCAGGAGGCAGAGGGCTTTCTGGGGCCGGGGCCGGTGGCCTGAGCACATTCGAGAGGTCTGCTCCCGCCCTGGCTGTGGGGCAACCCCCATCTGGGAGTCCTGCTCCTCCCCAGCAGGCGCGGCTGGGAGGGGCCGGAGGGTGGGGAGGCCCTGCGAGCCTCTTCCGGGAGCCCAGGACACATCAGGGGAACGTGAGTAGAGTGGGGGGTCCTCTAGGGGCGGGGGTGGGGAGTCTCCACACCCTTGCTGTGGTCACAGAGGTGGGCTGGTGTCTGGCTCCGGCAGGAGCCGAGAGGCGGGCCAGGAAAGATGTGGTTGGGGTGTGCGTGCCTGGGGGTGCGTGGGGACACGAGAGGTGTGTCCAGCCAGCCCCTGGTGGGGGGCCCACACTGACCAGCCCCGCAGAGGGGCGCGCCTGGGCCCTGGGGGCCCCTCTGGGCCTGGGCAGCAGAGGGCAGGCAGCGGGTGGGCCGGGAAAGGAGGCCCCACCTGGGGCTGAGGTGGGGCCGTGGCCGTGGCTATGGGGGCCTGAACACCCCTCGCCCAGGAGCTCAGGCCAGGACGGAGCTGCCCTCTTTGCTCCAGAAGGGCCCCCGTCCAGTGCAGGATCATGTGGCCTGGGCACTGCTGCGTGACCCTGGCCCCCAGGCCTTCAGCGGCTGGGGTGCAGCCCCCTGGAGTCAGGGAGGGCTGGCCAGGCAGGCCCCTGGGTGCCACCGGCAGGGGGGAGGCAGGAACTGGGCTCCTGTCCTCCTGAGCAGCGTCTGGGGTGCAGCTCAGGTGTGGGAGGAGAGGAGGGTTCAGGGGTCAGCCCCACCCTGGAGCCTGGGGAGGGGCCGCCAGTGACTAAGATTAAGAGGCGGCAGGAGGGGCCTCCCCGGTGGTGCAGCGGGTTGAGTGCTGTGCTGTGAGGCTGTCCGCAGCCTCTGCAGTGCGGGTTTGATTCCCACTGGCCGGGGAGCTACCCACATGGCGCGGCAGACCCCTCCTGTCTCGCCCGCTGCTCCCCTCAGCAGTGTCTCCGGTCTGTCTGCCTGTTCTGCTCCCCGCTCTGTCTCTGGTGAATCCTCTCACCCTCTCGCGCCTCTGGTCTGTACCCCAGTTCTTGTATAAATAAATAAAAAATTTTAAAATTGTAAAAGAGGCGGCAGGAGGAGGTGACTCAGGCGGGGGAGCGGCTGCAGGACAGGCCCATTACCTGCCTGGGGTGCTCTGTAGGGGTCTCTTGGACACTGCCGATGTGGGTGCTTGGTGACCCCGACGCCCCCTAATGCCCCCGCTCTCCTTTTGCAGCCCCCGAGGCAGCTGGCGACATGGCGGACACCCCCCGAGACGCCGGGTTGAAGCAGGCGCCTGCCCCGCGCAGCGACAAGGCGCCCGCGGACTTCGGCTACGTGGGGATCGACTCCATCCTGGAGCAGATGCGCAGGAAGGCCATGAAGCAGGGCTTCGAGTTCAACATCATGGTGGTTGGTGCGTCCCCGGCCACCCTCCCCTGGCCTCTTCTCTTCTGCAAAGTGGGGGTGGCAGAGCTGGTGGCCGGACCGGTCAGTGGGGCGTCGCCCGTGCTCAGGAGCCTGCTGGGAGCTCCCAGCCCCGTCAGCCTGGGCCCCTTGTGTGGAGAATCCTGAGATAATTTGGGACGCCCCGCTTTTCAGCTTCTGCTGAGGGGCCCACCACCGGAGCCGATGGGGGCCACCGTCGATCAGCCCCTGGACAGGGCTGGGGGCAGCAGCGGGCGACCTCTTGTTCCCGAAGTCCCGCAGGCCCCATTCAGTCCTCGCTGTCAGCCTGTGCCGAGCCCCCCTTGACAGTGAGCCCCGGGGAGGCTGTGACAGGCGCTCACAGAGGAGGGGATCTGAGCTGCCCTTAATACCTCCTGACCCCGGACCCAGAGCGCCCCCCGAGGAGGGTCTGTGAACCCCCTCCCCAGAGGGTCTGCTGACAGGTCCCCCTTTGCTCCCCAGGGCAGAGCGGCTTGGGGAAGTCCACCCTGATCAACACCCTCTTCAAATCCAAAATCAGCCGCAAGTCAGTGCAGCCCCCCTCGGAGGAGCGTATCCCCAAGACCATCGAGATCAAGTCCATCACGCATGGTGAGCACGGGCTGGGGGACCCTCCTTCCCGAGCCAGGGGGTGCTGGGGCCTCCCCACGACATGTTGAAACTGGGTGGGGGGCTCTCTAGGCCGTGGGGGGCCTGGTCACACTGTACTCCCTTGAAATAGCTGAGTTGTTTTTTTTTTAAGATTTATTTATGCACACAAGAGCTGGGGTGCAGGCCAGAGGTGAGGGGGTGAGAGGATTCCCCAGAGACAGAGTGGGGAGCAGAACAGGCAGACTGACAGAAACACACTGCTGAGGGAGCAGCGGGGAGGCAGGAGAGGTCTGTGTGGGCCGCTCCCTGGCAGGGACGACTCAGGCTGCAGTGGCTGGCGATAGCTTGATAGTGCGAAGCAGCAGAGTTTTCCATTAAACATTGTGGGGGTGACTTTCCAGGCGAACTGCCCCCCTTACTGCATTTCTGATCTGGGCCTGTGGCCCCGCAGCACCTGTGTCATCACGGTCACTCTGGTGCCGGCTGGGGCGGGACGGGGCAGGTCCCAGGAGCCCCTGGCGTGCCCCCCGCCCCCCCCGCCCCCCGGCTCAGCGTCCCTGTGTCCCTGCAGATATCGAGGAGAAGGGCGTCCGCATGAAGCTGACGGTCATCGACACGCCGGGCTTCGGGGACCACATCAACAACGAGAACTGGTGAGGGCTCGGGGGCCCGGGCGGGGCCTCGCCTGCAGGTGCGGCGCAGGGTGCTGGGCGGCTCCGGGTGGGAGCCCCGTCCTGGCCAGCTGGGGAGCCCCTGTGCAGAGGGCGGCTGGTCGGGAGCCCCCCTCCGCCCGGGGAGTCGCGCGTGTGTCCCGAGGGGGGCTCTGGCTGCGCGGGGGGCGAGCCGGGCGGGCTGACCCCTGGCCCCGTGCAGCTGGCAGCCCATCATGAAGTTCATCAACGAGCAGTACGAGAAGTACCTGCAGGAGGAGGTGAGCGTCAACCGCAAGAAGCGCATCCCCGACACGCGCGTGCACTGCTGCCTCTACTTCATCCCCGCCACCGGCCACTCGTACGTGTCCGCCGCCCCCGGCTGGGTGGGGTCTTTGTGGGGAACCCCGTCCACGTCCGAGCCTGCCCTGGGGGTGGGTCCCGTCGCGGGAGGCCTGGCGGTGGAGCAGGCGCCACGTAGGGTCCGCTGTGGGGACAGCCCCGCGAGGCTGACCAGGACGCGTCCCCCTCTGGTGGGGCAGGGGTTGGCCGAGGTCCACGGCAGCCGTCTGTGGGCACCGCGCCCCTCCCTTCCCCAGGCCCCCGCGCCCTGGGCCGTGGCGGCCCCTCACCGTCCTGGGTCAGACTTCCACCTGACCCACCTTTCCCCCATCTGTGGCTGACCCTTACTGTCCAGGTTGGGGGGTGCAGACAGCTTCAGAGGCCCTGTCGCCGGTCCCCCCGCACCCCCGAGCCAGGCCGCCTCTCTTGTCCTGCCCCCACCACACTCACTGCGTCCTTCCCTTGCAGCCTCAGACCCCTGGACATCGAGTTCATGAAGCGCCTGAGCAAGGTGGTCAACATCGTCCCGGTCATCGCCAAAGCCGACACGCTGACCCTGGAGGAGAGGGTCTACTTCAAGCAGCGGGTAGGGCCCCCCTCGAGCCCCTCCCCGCCCCACCGGGATGAGGGGGCATGAGTGCTGTGGGGCGGAGTGCTGGTGGCCACGGGGTCCTCTGCTGGGCTCCCCTTCGGACTGTGTGCAGAGGGGCGTCCTGCAGACCCGTCCACACCCCCCGGGAACTTGCCAACCCGAGGCTTGGAGCCAGACCAACTGACCCTCCCCCCAGGGAGGACCCAGACTCACCTGCCGCCCTGGGGCCCGGTCTAGGCCAGGGACGCCCCTAGGGAGGACGGTCCCCTTAGGCAGGCATGTCTGCCAGGAGTGGGCTCCGGCCTGGGCTCGGGCAGAAATGACTGCTCCAGGGACGTCGCTGGCTGTCATCCCTGTGGGGCAGCGGGTGTCCCTCTGGTGAAGAGGTGACGGGTCAATGCAGGCGGTGCACTGGGGGGACCGGCCGCCCCAGGGACTCGTGGGAAGCGTGAGGAGCTGGACAGCAAGGACAGGGCCCAGGATAGTGACTGGTGTCCAGGGGCAGCTGCGGGTCTCCTGGTGGCCCCACCTGGGGCTGCCCCTCCCCGGCGAGGAGGCACAAGAACTGGAGAGTCTCGGGGTCTCCGGCCCACCTGGACCCCACCTGGCTGCTCAGTGTGGATGCCTTGGTGGTGGGTGTGGCCCACACCTAGGCCAGGCCACGGGCCTCACGGAGGGTGCCCCACGCTCCCCATCCCCAGATCACCGCGGACCTGCTGTCCAACGGTATCGACGTGTACCCCCAGAAGGAGTTTGACGAGGACCCGGAGGACCGGCTGGTGAACGAGAAGTTCCGAGTGCGTGTGGTGCCCGTCCAGGCCCCTCCCTTCTGCTGGGGGCGCGGGTGGGGTCCCTGCCCCTGGGGCCTGGGGGACGGGGGTGACCTCAGCCAGGTGCCTGCATCTCCTGGGCTGAGAGGTGGGACTGAGGCTCTGGGTTTGGGGGTGCCCGAGGACAGCTCCTGCTGGGACATCTCAGGCAAGAGACCGACGGCCCTATCCCCCCCAGGAAATGATCCCGTTCGCCGTGGTGGGCAGTGACCACGAGTACCAAGTGAACGGGAAGAGGATCCTCGGAAGGAAAACCAAATGGGGCACCATTGAAGGTAATGGGGGTGCTGCCTTCCCCCCGGGCGCCTCAACACAGTGCCCCTCCTGCCAGCCAGGGACTGCACCCAGCCGCGGGGGTCCTATGGTGTTCCCACTTGGGGAAACGGGGGGGGCAAGTCCAGGCCACAGTACTGCGGTGTGCCCGCCACTCCCCAGGGCAGGGAGCTCCAAGCTCTGGTGCTGGGGTCCATGGCCGTGTTGGGTGGCCCCCTCCCCCATCGGCCAGGCCGTGCGACCCCCCCACAGCCATGCTGGGGACCCTAGACAAGTCTCATCACCACGCTGAGTCCAGGGAACGGGCGGGGCCCGGAGCTCTGTCCAGCTCTGAGACCCAGTGTCGTGGTCCTTCCCCCCTACACCCCCGAAGAGGTTCCGGGCACCCCCAACTTGGTGCCCTGGAGCTTCCCAACAGGTCAGCACTGACGGGGCTGCTCCCCACACGTTACTCCGGCCCCGCTGGGAGGCCAGGTCAGCGCCGAGGGACGGGCACCGATTTCCTCTGGGCGCTGAGGCAGGACGGGTCCTGGCCCCTCCTGGTGGCCGGGGTGACCAGCACCCATTCTTCAGGGGCCTCTCTGTGTCCGAGTTTCCCAAGGACGCTTGTCTTTGGCTCAGTGCCCACCCTAAATCCAGGGTGGCCCCCAAGACCCTTAAGTACCCCTCAGACTTCCCCAGTGAGGTTCCGGTCACAAGTGCAGAGCTGGGGTTGGCCCTGGGGGGCTGGGAGCAGACGGGAACCTTCTAGGGGGTGACCCCGTGGGAGGGACCTGGGGGTGCCCCCCATGCGCTCGGTTCCTTCCTCCCACGGGAGAGCGGAGCTGTCAAATGGCCCCTCGGTCACTTGGCTGAAGGACCCCCCCAGTGGAGATGCAGCCGCCTCCCCAACCCCCAGCCCCTGGGGCCTGTTTCCCCCTCCAGGAAGTGGAGACTGGGAGCCTTTGGGGCTCTGGGGTCCCACTGTCCCCTGCGGGAGGGTGCAGGGAGGAAGCTGGCCAGGTGGAGCCTGCCCTGGACCCACCAGCCTGGGGGGGGTGGGGCCCAGGGGTGCCCAAGGGACAGGGGGGATCCTTTGTCTCCCCTGCTGCTGGATTGGCCTCTCTGCAGTGTGACCTCCAGGGCCTTGAGCCCACTCCCCTCTGCCAGAGGGGGTCCTTTGGGGGCAGCTCACGCCCCTGCCAGGCAGTGCCAGTCAATGAAGACAACTTTGGGGGGTGGAAAGTTTGGGATGAGGAAGTGGGGGTTCTGGCTAGCCATGCGCCTCTGCTGCCCCCTGGTGGCCAATGCCGCCGCTGGCCGCCCGCTGGAGTGGGGTCCTGGCCGTGAGGGCCCGCGGGTGACCTCCACCCCTCTCCTCTCCGCAGTGGAGAACACCACACACTGTGAGTTTGCTTACCTGCGGGACCTGCTCATCAGGTGAGAGCCTGGGCGGGCTGCGGGCAGCTGCCTTGGGAACAGCAGGACGGGAAACTCTGGGAGGGAAGGACCGAGCGCCCTGCAGCCCGGCCCGCGGGGGACGCGTGGGCCGGCTTGTGGGGGCCTGGCCCCCTCCCAGCGTCCTCTGGCCCCGCCCTGTGACAGACAGAAGGGGGCCAGGTGGGGGGCCTGGGCTGGCAGGTGAAAGAGGGCGGGAGGGAGCGCCCAGCCAGCAGGTGGGGCCGCTGGGGATAAGGCAGGAGGGGACTGACCGAGCCAGCTGGGGGCCCTCCAGCTGGGGACCCGCAACTTTCCGGAGCCACCCGCCCTGTCACAGCCAGCGCACCCCGTTCCGGTCTCTTGCATGCCTTGGAGCCGGGGCTCAGCCCGGGCCCAGCGGATTCACCGGAGCTGTGGTCACCCACTCCCCACCCTGGCCTGGCCACTGGACGGGGACCTGGGTGGCCATGGAGACCGCCCCTGTGCCCAGGCCCGGGCAGCTTGGTGGCCTAAGGAGCCTGCGGGGAGTTGGGGGGCAGGGGTCCCGCAGGGGCCCTCTGCTGACCGCCTGCCGCCTGCCGCAGGACGCACATGCAGAACATCAAGGACATCACCAGCAGCATCCACTTCGAGGCCTACCGCGTGAAGCGCCTGCACCAGACCACCGGCACCATGTCCAACGGGCTGGAGGAGCCGGAGCCCGAGGCTCAGGAGATGTAGACGCCCCCCGTCCCCCCGCCCGCCTGCCCCGGGTCTCTCCGGCCCCGGCCTGCCCACTCGCCCGTTTAGTTTATGTAATTTTTTCCATTTGTCAGCGTCCCCCGTGACACGCTGCCAAATAACAAGATGATGCGCCCCCGCCCCCAGCACCTCTGTTGTTAGCCCCCGACTGGGGTCCAGGGCTGGGTGGGCCCAGGGTGGAGGCCCGGCGCGCTGACCAGCCCTGAGGTCCGGGAGGGCAGGCGGGGCGCCGCGCCATCCACAGTTCCCGGTGGCCGTGCAGGAGGGCGGGCGAGCCCCAGGCCGAGTCCCCTCCTGCAGGAGCCTCCTGGCTCAGACCGGTCGCTCGGCCCCGCTCCTTCCTCCAGACCCCCCTTGCGGTTGCTTAGACTGGGCGAGGCCTGCATGGGCCCCCGCCCCCCGCCCGCCCAGAGACCTGCCGGGAGCAGAAAGTGCCTTTATCTCCTCGTCCCCACAGCCGGCCTCCGGGGTAGCCGCTGCCGCCGGCTCCGAGGGGCCAGGACAGGTGGGAGAGACGGAGGCGTCGCCACCTCTCCACCCCCCTGGCCGGGATCTGATTGAGAACTCGAAGCAAAAAGACGCCCCCACCCCACTCACCCCTGCCGTTTGGGGAAGGGCCGAGCAAGCGAACCCCAGGTGGACGGGGCGGGACTGGGGTGGTCAGAGGGCCTGGGTGTCCGCACCCCACCCTGCGTGACTGCATGTGTGTGTGTGCGCGTGTGTGTGGTTAGACATCTGTGTGCCCCAGATGCTCTGGCTCAGCGCACCGCAGCAGCCGCCCTGTGCATGCTGGGCCACCCGGCGCTGACGCTGGGGCCCCGGGAGGTCGGCGCTGCCCTGGGTCTGACGCCCCGAGCCCGTCGTGCAGACAGTGGGGGACGGAGGGGTCAGGTGTCCGGCATGCAGGGCATAGCCCTGGGGTGTCTCCTGTGCCCCCACCTGCTGTCTCCCCCAGAGGAACAGCCCTGAGCACCCTCACCCTGCCCGGGGATGTGGGGGCCCCGCTCCTGCCTCCGGGACCAGAGACAGGTGAGGTCCGGTCTGTCCACAGCCCCCGGGGCAGGCGCAGACGGCTTGGGCTGTGTGTGCGCGGGCGTGTGCGTGGACGTCAGCGCCTCGCGTGTCAGCCCCATCTAAGAGAGAAAGGACCCATCCCCCCAGAAAGTTTACTTGCTGACTTGCCACGATTTGCCAAAACCAAGATTTGCAAGGCCGCGCGGGGCCGGCCTCCCGCGGGCGCCTGTGCCGCGGCCTCCCGCAGGCGGCTTCGCTTCCTTCCTGCAGCCGGATCTTGAGCATCGCTAGTCTGGGCTCTGCCCGCCCGGGCTCTGTCCGCCGTGGCCTTCGCTCCGTGCCTCCTGAGAACCTCGTCTCTTTTTGTATAAATAACAAAATGTTCAAAGTGTATTTCCTGAAATAAATGTTCCATAGGCAGCGGGGCTCGCGGGTCTTTCTCTTTTCGGCGCTGGGCGCGGGGGAAGGCAGCGGCCTCAGCGATGGGGAGGCGCTTTCACGGGTGGGTGAAACCTTTCCAGCTCCTTCTCGAGCACCCTGGGAAACGAGATTTTCGCAACACCCCATTTGACGAGATTGACCCCGAGAACTGGTCAGTATTTGACGGTCACTTCCCACGCCCGGTTGAGCCGATTCCGAGAGAACCTGCCCCCGGTGGCTGCCGCTCGGCTTTTCTCCGCAGGCCGCAGGGACGGGAGCGAGCAGGTGTGGGGGGAGCCCTGGCTGTGGGGGTCTCACGTGTCACCATAGGGGCCCCCAGAACAAGTGACCATGACTGAGGCAACGGAGAATTCTGGTCTGCAGGGACACGTGTGCTCCTCAGCGGCTTGTGGGGAGCCCTTTCTTAGACTGGTTTTGGGGCCAGCGAGTCTCTGGCCTCTCAAGTCACACACTGCAGACCCTCTGGAGTGGGGTGGTCCGGGAGAGGGCGGGGCTGGGGCGGCTCCTGTGCCGGGGCCACAGAGGGCAGGTGGGGCCGGTGCCTGCTGTCTGCAGGCGTCCCTGGGGGGGCACTGGCAGGGGAGACAGACCCCATGGCCCCAGGGGAGACATCTGTCCTGGCAAGCGTGGGATGGAGACCTTCAGGGCCGTAGGGCCAGGCCTCAAAGGGGCTCCCCAAGAGGGAACCAGGAGACCAGAGGCCACGGACTGGCAGTGGATCCTATCCTTAGCCAAGTGCAGGGTTCCTGCACCTCCTTTAAGGCTCTGTGGGGGTCATCCTGATATTCCCTCCTGCACCCCAAAAAGAGGCCCTCACCTCCCTTTCCTGGGCGCCTGAGTCAGCACTGGAGCCTCCATGCCCATGCCACCCGCCCTGCTCCGTCCTCTGCCTGTGCGCACAGCAGGGCCGGCGGCCTTGTTCCTTGGAGCTGGGCGGCTCCGGGGGTCCTCCATGGCTCCAGCCGGCCGGCCGTGCACCCCCAGGCCTCCAGCCCTGAGTGTCCTGTGGCCGCATCCCTGCCCTGGTCCCTGGGCCATCTGTCCCCGCGTCCGTGTGTCCTCTCGGGCGGCAGGCCCTGATCCAGCACCATCGCGTCTTTACTCGCCAAGGCCCAGTTTCCAAGTGACGCGGCTTCTGAGCCTCTGGCGCCCCTGAGCTGGGGGCACGCAGGTTGAGCACCGACCCTCGGCATGGGCCCCAGGGATGGCTGCTCTGGCACGGAGCCCCCTGCCGGCCCCCCGCCCGGGTGCTTTCCCTCCTGAGCTGGGAGCCTGGAGCCGGCGAGGACAGCGCGGGAATGGGTGTGGTGGGGGGCGCCGGGCGCCGGTGGTGAGCGCCTGCACGAAGCTGGGTGTCAGGAAGCCCCGAGGGTGTGCGGGGTGACCGCCACGGAACGGGGCTCCCAGGGCTCCCCAGAGGTGGCGGCGGGCGTCTGCCGGGCCGGGTGTCCCTCCTGAAGCTTGAGCTCCCACGGCTGGGCCCGTGCGCCCACAGGACCTCTGCCCGGACCTGGGGTCTTCAGAGACTGGAAAATTCTCAGGTGTCCAGATAAGCTGTCCCCGGGCCGCTGCTGCTCCCACATGTCCAGGAAGGCCAAACCCCAGTTGGCCTCAACCCCCATCGGCACCCCTGGGCGCACACACAGATGCTGGGCTGGTCCCACCTGTGTCCCCACAGGGGGCGGCTCCTGTTCGCCCCACTCAGCCCCCGCCAGGATCCCACAGAGCTCCTGGCTCCTGTCAGCCCCAAGAACCGTGGAAGCCGGGGGTGTGTGTCTGATGAAGTGGGAGCTCTGTAATTTAGCAATTACTGTAACCCGCACTTGTAATTTGGGGGGTTTCTGGTAATTCTTTGTACTCTCTTCTAAGACACGCGCAGCCTCAGTAGCTTTCTCTGGGATGCGCCCACCCCAGTCAGCTGCGGGGCACCCCAAAGAGCTGTGTTTGTGCTGCTTGCAGGGTGAGGAGGGCTGACTCCGCGTGGTGCCCTCCCAAGAGCTCTCCAGCCATGGGTTCCTCTAGAAGTCAGTGCATGGAGACCCCCCAAGTTCTGCCATCCCCCCAGGTTCTGCCACCCCCCCCCAGTTTCTTCCGCCACACCAGTCTCCTCACTGCTTCCTCTGCGGCCACTTTGGCGCCTCTGCCTGTGATCCCCGTTTGCTCACTTGAGAAGAAAGTGTGAGGTGTTCCAGGAGCCGGGCAGGGGCTCGGGGGGCTCTGGATGGGGCCTAAGTCGTGCGAGGCAGGACCTCCCTTCCCAGGGCCCGTTGTCCCGGACTGGCTCATGGCCACGTTCAGGAAAGTCCGGTTCTGGCACAAGGGCTGAGGGCCCAGGGGTGACTCTGGCAAGCCGCGGTGGGTGCAGGCGGGGTGGGGGAGGGCAGAGGGCCTGGGGCTCACTTGAGGGATTGGTGAGCCGGGGCAGAAGGCAGGAAGCGGCAGGGGCTGGTCAAAGAGCAAGGAATTCCTGGAAGGGGCCAGAGGAGGGGCAGAGAGAGGCCTGAGGTGGGCAGGCCCTTGAGAGCAGGCCCCCCGAGAGCAGCTTGAGGAGGCATGGAGCGGCCCCGGGACCTGCCAAAGACCTCTCAGAAGGGACGGGACAGGGAGCCGGCACCCAGGCCATCCTGTGCCGGGGCCGGGTGCCGCGGGGATGGCCGGCGCGGCCGGGCCCAGCAGCCGTGAGGCGCTGTGGCTGCGAAGAGCCTGCAAGATGGCAGGTGCGGCCATCTTGGACTTCACGCTCTGCTACAAACAACCTCGCTGCCGAACTGCAGCCTGCAGGGCTAGAGAGTCCCTCTATCAGCTGCATGAAGCCGCCTTGTGTGGGGTGAGGCGGGAGCCCATCAGGAGGACAGTGCCCAGGTGAGCACCTGTAAGAACCTGTGTGAGGCAGGGGCTGAGGGAGAAGACGGATCTGAGGGGTGTGTGGGAAGCAGAGAGGGGACTGGCTGCTGAGTAGACAGGGGAGGCGCCCTAGGTGACGTGTGCCTGGGCAGATGGTGATGCCATTGTCAGAAAACACCCTCCAGCCACGGACCTGAGCCACAGACCTGAATTATTTATGCGTGATTTATACAAGACATACGGTTGCAGCCCAGCAAGGAGAGAAAACAAAGCAAATAATAAGAACAGTAACGAAAGCCATTCAGCAATGCTAGGGCTCATATTTCAGTTATAGCAACAACTGCAAGTGGAATAAATTCCTTGTTAAAAGAAAAAGACTCTGGGGCCTCCCCGGCAGCCTAGGGGTGAAGTCTCAGCCCTATCACTGCTGCGGCCTGAGTTCAATCCCGGGCCAGGGAGCTACTCACAGGGCGCAGCAGACCTCTCCTGGCTCCCCGCTGCTCCCCTCAGCAGAGGATATCAGTGGATCTGCCTGTTCTGCTCCCCACTCTGTCTCTGGTGAATCCTTTCACCCCACCTCCAGCACCTCTGGCCTGCACCCCAACTCTTTTATGCAAAACCAAAAAAGATTCTGAAATTGGACAAGAAAACAAACTCAATAAAAAATGTTTATAAGGAACACACATCAAACAGCAATTCAGTAAAGTTGAAACTAGAAGGAACAGAACTTACTAGACACCAGGGCCACACTCCTGGCACCTGAAAAAGTTCAGTTCAAGGTCAGAAGTGAAGAAGAGCAGAAATTTGGGGGGATTGACAAGTTTGTGGGTTCCCACCTGTCTGCTCACAATTGCAAGACACACCTGCAAGGGAAGTGAAAAAGCATCAGGCTTTTCCGCCTTCCCACTATTAGCATTTCTGATGGATCCCTGTGGCCCTGCGTGCATGCCTAATGGCGGGCACCTGGAGTGGGGTGTGGGCTGCATAGGTGGGCGCACCTGGGCTGGGACTGGGCTTATAAGGGCGGCGTCACGGGGACGCCAGCAGTATGAGAGCAGAATGAGGAAAGGCAGCAGCGGAGGAGCAGGCACCACGAGAGAAGGCCAGAGAGCCCAGGAAGGGTACAGACATTTGCGGGGCTGGGGGGCCTGCCAGCCTCCTGGCCTCCCGGCCCCCTACCTGCCGTGGACCTGGTGCCGCACTACAAGTGATGGAACAAGCTCAACAAAAGCCTGAAAAAGCCCCTGAGGGTTCCAGGACTCTCTTTTGCCCATCTGCCCGGATCGTAGAGAACCTGCTCTGGGCCTTGCTGGCGTTACAGCGCCTCAGTCTCAGGCTCCAACACAGGGTTTATTTACACAGGGAGAGGGAGAGCAGGAAAGTTTTGCCCGGGTCACGCCCCAGACAGTGTCCACGGCGTCCAGTCATCCAGACCAAAAGCTGCTGGTGCAAGATGGTGCCGTTCCTCCGATGAGCAACTGGAGCTGGCTCACTGCCCAGCGGTGGGCTGGGCTCCGGCTAACCTGGGGCAGCCAGGCTGGTCACACGTGCTGCTGGGGCTGCTCCACAGCAGTGACCCCCTGAAGCTGAAGTCTGTGTCCCCGTGAAGCCCCTTCCAAGCTCAGCTAAACCTCCCCAAGCCTCTGCTTACCCGCCTCAGGTGCCTGCCTTTCAAACCTGACGGATCCTCTTCCAAACCAGCTGTTTCCAATACCTGACTGGTGTCAGTGGGAGCTCAGACCTGATGGTGTTCAAAACTAGCTGAGGATTCAAGACAGAACCCCAGAGTGCGTCCCACCTGCCCCACACGGCCTCACGCCGGAGCTGGCAGGTAAGCTCCAAGTGGCGTTGGCACGCCCAGGCCTGTCCGTGCGTCTCCAAAGCAGTGATTTTTCTGATCCGGGCTGCAGGGGCAGGGTCGGCCATTAAGGCCTGGCCCAGGCTGATGCCGCCCAGCCGGGAGCCGGGCGACTGCAGGCTTCAGAGGGCAGAAATGCAGTCGTGTAGGTGTGGAAAGAAACTCTGTGTTGTGTTGTGTTCTTGTTGTGAATCTGCAGGAATCAGAAACGTTTTGAAGCCTAGTAAATCCAGTCCCACTGAGCAGGACTGCTCTTTCCCCCAGGCTGGCCTCAGGGGTACCCCCGAGAGTCCCGTGTTTCTG